ATCATCACTGGTCAATTTTCAATAAGTTCCCATTCTTGATCATCACAAGCAGAAGACATCAAAATTTGAATACAAAATTTACTGCTTACAAATTCATATTCACCATTTTGAATACACATCCACCTGACCATTATGATTAATGAGTGAAGCCAAGTTGGAGTTATTCACAAAATTAATATGCTTTTTATTATAGTTTCAGCTAAATTCAACTGTTATAAGCTTTGGATATCCACCCAACTCAAGTTTTTGCTGAACTTGTCCAATTACTTATATGATGAGGTTTTCCAAGTGATGGTGCACATAATGATAGAATACTTACAAAAGTATGCATTTCTGTTAAGATATAAAAAACTCTTTAAACATTGCTTCAATAGAGTGACAGTTGACTTCCAACTTGAATTCAAAGCCTACTGAGAATTTTTGAGTACTGTTCATTCAAATAAAACTTTGGAGAACGAAGATAATGCTCCACTACATGGATCACGTACTGTACTTCGAATTAATTAAAAATTGTCCTTACTGTAGATTCATCAATTGAAATATTCTGATACAGATGCAGAAGCTGATCAAGAAAAGAAAGAATCCCTTTTTTTATTCTGACAGGAATGTTTTTCTGATGATTTTAAATTTCCAAACTATTTCATGAATGGATTTCTTGGACTGATAAAGCGCTATTTAAATTTTTCAAATAATCAAGAACATATTTTTTGAAAAACTGGTGAAGGTGGTGATTTTTTTACAGTATTTAAAAATTTTATAAGTTAAAATAAGATTTTTCCAATTACAGGTGGATTGTCTCATCTATGCAGCAATATTCAAGAGACCAGAAAAAAATCGTTACAGAGTGAAATTCTTTGGAAAGAACCCCAAGATTTAAAAAATCGTTATACAGTACAGAAAAGATCATTGTTGACATACATCAAGTTTTTTCTAGAGACAGAGATGCCTCATATGCATTAAATTTAATCCCCTTTAATAATTCATGCGTCATCATTCCACACAAACAAAAAATGGCTGGAATTTTTTTTTTAAGCTTAGTCAAGAAGAAAAGCTAGGCCTGAGTGGTTCTTAAAGTACTACTTACACAATTTAAAAAAAGAAAGCTTAGAAAGCACTATTCTTCTTGCCGTCAGAAGCCGTGTCGTGTTCCAAGGTTGGATAAGCAGGCAACAACTGATGGTCTCTCCAGCCCAGGGTATCATCTTTTATACCCATCGCAGGCGAGAACCCGACTTCGTGCATTCACCCCGTTCCTGATGACTGAGCAAAAAATTTGAAATAATAAAAAAAAGAAAAAAGGAAAATAAGAAGGTTCGGTTGTGGAAGAAGAGGGGGCACGTCCTGCAACCGTGTTTTCGGAACGGAAGCCCCGTAGCCGTAAATAAAGGAGTAGTTTTCCCCCCTCTCTGCTGAAACTAGTTATATGCGACACCGTTTTTAAAAATAATAGTTTCATGATTAAAACAAGTGAATGCCGGTTATCCATCTTGAATTCCGGGCGCTGCAAGTAGAAAGAAATCAACTGACGAAAACAAGGTTAAATCAAGCTAAAAATTTTGGGATCATCACATGGTGCAAATATACGCAAAATATATTCAGCAAATATTTAAAAAATATTCAGCAAATATTTAAAAAATATTCAGCAAATATTTAAAAAATATTCAGCAAATATTTAAAAAATATTCAGCAAATATTTAAAAAATATTCAGCAAATATTTAAAAAATATTCAGCAAATATTTAAAAAATATTCAGCAAATATTTAAAAAATATTCAGCAAATATTTAAAAAATATTCAGCAAATATTTAAAAAATATTCAGCAAATATTTAAAAAATATTCAGCAAATATTTAAAAAATATTCAGCAAAAACCCGAAAACTAATCAGAAAAGACAGAAGAAGATCCAGCAAAAACACGAAAAAAACAGTATTCAACCAAAATTTGAAAAATACAATATTCAACCGAAATTTGAAAAATACAATATTCAACCAAAATTTGAAAAATATTCAGCAAAAATACGCGAAATATAAAAAAAGTTCAAAAATATTCAGAAAAAATCCGAAAACTATTCAGCAAAAAATACGAAAAATTCAGAAAAAATATACAAAATATTCAGCAAAATCCTGAAATATTCAACAACATTTTGAAAAGGATTCAGCAAAACTAAACAAAATATCCCGCAAAATTCAGAACACTTCCACAAGAATCTCGTGACAGTATTCAGAATAAGACACAGAATCAGTCGAAAATGATCATAATTTTTTTCAAAAACATTTCTTGAATATATATACTGTTCCATTGACATTCTCGGTGGAACTCTGAAGCCTTTTCTGAAAGACTACTCGAAAATAAATCTATTTCACAAGATTTGCATGCGTAATTTGTACACTATTTCATACCATCAACGCCTTGTTTGAACCGGCAAAGAAAAATAATTTTACCAAATGAAAAAAGTACTGCATATAGGATGGAAAAAGAGTCGAAGAATTTTAGTTTTTCATCTTATTTGTATTCCACAAATAACAAGAAGGTACTGTATTATTGTCCTTGATCCAGTGGTAAATTAGCTCCATGTCCTGGTACAGCATAACTGACATACTTTTCGGTATGGGACGAAGAATGTTGCCTGAAGGTGCTGTACAGCAAATAATAGTTATATTATAGCGATAACATAATCATTATTCATCATCAAACACCTGAAGCGCGATCAATAACAGGTAATAAAATATCAACTCGCAATTTTAGGAGATAACTAAAAAAACGCAAAATATGTTCTGTGTCAAGTTTTATGAGTGTTGAATATATATGTCATTACTGATTATGAAAAGCCAGTAAAAAATCACATTTGTCACTGCAGCAATCATGTAGGAAAATGTCTACCCATTAATTTAATCAAGTGTCATCCATCCTCACATAAGGCTCATGTCTTAATTTTTTGCACAATTGTTGGAAAAAATTTCATCTCTGAGTAGCAATTGAACCTTGGTTTCCAATCACCTGATGCAATTTCACTGTACTTTGGTACCAAGAATTTTTTTTTTAATAATTGCCCGGTCTCCATTAGAGGCCTGTCTCTATTAAAGGTTAGGTGATGCAGGTCTCAGAACAGCTTGAAGCAAATCCAGGTGGATTCTTTGTACATCCATTTTTTCATCAACAACTTTCTCTGCATAACATGTTTTGCTCTCGTCCCATTGGGTTCTCTTTCCATAAGGGTTCTGTATAACACAATTCTCTCTACAAAAATGTTTCTCTGCTTCCTTGACATTTTTATTAGAGCGAGTCCATCTGTAATAGCTGGTCTCAAACTCTTGGGCAGTGCTGCTGAGATTTATATTGGCACCATTTTTTGCCACAGGTAAAATCAGAAAAATGAAAAATCTAGGATGAGGAAAAGAGTTGGAATTCCAGTAAAATCATAATTTTTTTTACATTCTTGCAAAAAAATCTGGTCAAAAAATTATTTGCTGCTGGGTGGCATTTCTTCTGCATTACTGCCATAGGATTAGCATTCAGAGATTTTGAAAACAGTGGTTTGGTTCTTGCTTTTCCAGATTTTTCCAAACTTTTACTGTACTCCAAAACATTTGCATTTTAGTGACCTTTGGCCAAACCAAAATGCACAAGCATGCAAACATTTCTTGGCACCACTGTGCAATGGAAATTGACATGCTGCCATCCAGGGGCTAATAATCATTGGTCAAAGATTTAGGGAGAATGGATCAAATTTTGAGAATTCTCTTATAATCCAAAAATCATGTACACCCCTATATTGAGAGCTTGAGAAAGAAACTCTTTTTCCCAACCATCAATTCTTGAAGCTTTTCTGTCTGATTTTTTCAAGAATGATGTCCTCAAAGATTTTCTCACATATTTCACCTGGAATTTCCCTTTTTCCCTGTTCTTGTTTGCATTTCTCTTGTCTTACAGTCTTAACTGTTGTAAACAAGTACTGGTCAAGCCAGCCTCTTCTCAATGCTAAGAAAAAAGACAAATGATCTAGATTACCGTTTCCTGAACCATGGTTCCACAGACTGGCAAGAGTTCACAAAAGTTTTATTCCAGTCTGTAGGAAATTTTCTTCAGTATAATAAATTTATCAAAAGTAGCAATGAAGCCTAATATATTCACCTTAAATGTTGAAGAGAGAATAAGGCAGCTGACATGTCTGATCAGATGAAACTGTAAGTTTTATTTTCTCCTGAAAGTACTTCAGACAGTTCTTCAGCTGCCAAAATGAATTTTTAAAAGTTTTCATTCTGAGAAATCTTTCCTTGGGCACACCTTTTTCATTTTTAAAGACAGTCCAATATAGCTGTTTCATTTGTTCTTGACTTAAGTTTTTGGAAAAATCAAAACCTTTTCAAATACCTGATATAAAGTCTTCCAAGTACAACTTTGTCTAGTGTGCACAAACTTCATGAAACTTGGCCTACCCACAGAAAAGTTCTTGGAATTTTACTGCTCTGTAAAGAATTGTATGCAAATTTTCCAGATTGCATGCCCAAAAAGAATGGGAACACTGTTCTAAACAACCACCAGGAACATTCTTCTTGAAGAATACATTAAACCCCGCACAACAGACCACCCACACAATCGATTTTTTGCACAACAGACCACCTCTATGGGGGCAGTTTTCCCTCCCATGCAATGTGCTAAATCTGCATAACAGACTTTTGTTGGTTTAGAAATAATTGTGAAAAAAAATATAATTATTTTTTCAATTGAATTGGCATGTCAGATTTTTCACTCAACAGATTGGTATATTGCAAAAATCATCTTAATATTTATTGGCATATCTGTTAGCTGTTTCAAAAATATTGTTGAAACCATTTTCTTGAATCTCTGTGATTTATTCCCAATTTTTCTGCATCATGCTCCAATCCCAAATCCAAAGGATTGTTTTTGCGCCCACCCTGTACAAGATTGGTGGGAACGAAATGAGGAATGAACAAGGAAGTATATGATGAAGGGGAAGAATAGCAAAAACAAAAACAAAAACAAAAAAAATCGAGGGAAAGGCATGAATGAATGGACCGACGGGAGACCTTGAATTCGGGCATCCTTATGAACATCCGCCTGGCATCAACTGCGCAATTCTGAGCCCAGTGAGAGATTTACCATCCATTAAAGCCACACCCAGGGTTTTCTGGCTTCAATATAACCTCAACTTATCGAGGAAATCCTCACCTTTTTTTATTCTTCATTTCCCCTTGCCTTCAATCAATCAATCACTCATTTCAAGAGCATCACTCACTAATATTTTTCAGGATAAAAAAAAAATGCAACCCTTTGTGTGAAGAAAGTTCTCCAGCTTTTTTTCACTGCCTCATCCGATTTATCCTTGAATTTCTTTTCTTGTTCTGAATAGAAATTTAATTTCGTGATATATTTAATGATGCATCATTATTTGCTTGGACTGATTTTCTACTAATGAAGCGGAAATACAAAAAAAACAAAGGGTGTGAGGAAATTCTTTTTCTGAATTTCCACGCAGTCGTGAATCATATGCGAAGAAATTCCCTCCTTCAATTTAATTTCTCAAATGGATGACAGTTTCTTCAGATAAATTTTATTCCTTTTTTCCGAGAAGAAAAAAATCCAGGAAGAGAAGTTCAATTAAAAAAAAATACTCGAGATGGCAATTTCTCTGATTTTTCCTCACGGATTCTTCGAAGGACGAGTGTGTGAAAAAAGAATAATTAGCCTCCAAAGGAAAACATTATGAAATTGAAATTAATGAAACGATTGAAAAACGAGAGAGAAAAAAAAGAAGGGATTGTGATGAATAAAATCGGAAAGGTGTCAACGCCAACGTTCATCCTTGGGAGGTTTTAAGGTTACCAGCAGGAAACCCATCGGCCACGCCCTTGGATTTCTTCTTTCCCACAGCAGTCAAAAACTTCTTATTGGAGAACAATATTTTTCAAGTCCATTCCTTTGTTTATTTTTTTCTCACAAATCAGTCTCATAAACGCGGAAATGACGAGTGTGATGGATGGTGTTTTGTGGAAGAGGAAGTCTACTGGTGATAATCCTAAACTCTTTCACAAATACACTTTCTTCTGGCCCCAGGGCAAAAAAAAAGAGGAAAAGGTAGTAAAATGATCATTCTGCCTTCAGCAAAAAAAAGGGGTGATTTTTAAAATGCTAATATTAATTTTTTAAATTACAGTACATGCAGGAAAATTAGACTGCATCTGATCATAGGGATATTGTACTGCATCATTGATTTGCTGTAAG